AACTGAAATTATAAATATTAAAGAATTAAAAAGCTTATTATTGGAGATCCTTGGAATAAAGTTACTACTATAATGTTATACATATTATAGTATGATTTGAATCTAGAATAGCTTAACGAAGCCTACAAAAATATTAAATCTTATAAATATACCTAAAAAGAGTCATAACTGTTTATTGTTTGAAATGTAATGAAATAATAAACATTTTTATATAAAACCTACTAAACTAAACTACTCTTTAAACCTAAGAAAAAAGGGAATATGTTCTATAAAATAAAATTGTTTAGAAATTAAGACCTATTTTTTAATATTAAATTACCTCCTCATACGAGTTGAATAGGTATATTGTTTTATTTATCTGCTTTTAAAGGTAAGAAATATCAAATAATCATACCTATTTTTTAATTCATGAGGGTCTTTGTTTCTTTTGTAACTGTAAATATATATATATATATATATATATATATATATATATATATATATATATATATATATATATATATATATATATATATATATATATATATATATATATATATATATATATATATATATATATATATATATATATATATATATATATATATATATAATAATATTGTTTCTTGTAAATTAAAAACAGAAAAAAAGATGTTGTTATAAATAAAATTTGATAATAATGGTATTATTAATATCAATGTTAACATTCAGTATATTAATGAAAATAAATATGTTTTAAAAAATAAACTCTATAATTATTGTTATATAATGAATTTCGTTAATAATATACATTCAAGTGAATTAAATATTATAATCAATGGATTTAATAAATTAAAAATTAAAGTAATAATTAAAATATTTAGTCCCTCAAAGTCAGTCTAAGATCGCTATTCGAAATGTTTATTATTGATGTACAAGGCTTTCAGTATGTATCGAGAAATTTTATTTGTAAAGAATTAGCAATAGTCAACGTTGATGACAATGGACATTTGGCTGCACATAAATTTATGTTATCCAAGTGAATTGAAACAGTACAATTCAAAAGTTAGAGATCATATGGAATGGATAACTTGTAATTTCCATGGTTTAGAATTTAATGTTTTATATGAACAAGAAGGAATATATTTACCTTACAAAGATATTTCAAGTTTCATTAAAAAACACGTGTGTTCAGAAATTATTGCTGTTAATGAGGCAGAAAAGAAGCAATGGTTAGAAAAGTTTTTAGATAATGAAATAATTGATTTATATATAGAAACATGTTCAGCTTTTGATCGATTAAAAAATATATTCAGATCTTATCATTGTTTAAAACATTTAGATGATACTTTGTGTTGTGCAGTTGAAAATGTATATTTCCTATTTTATTGGTATACTTATTGTAAAAAGCAAAACTTTTAAATAAAACATTGAAAATAATAATAATGTATTTTATTTATTAAAATATAGATAGACTATAATAATATCTATAATGATAAAACGGTATATTTCTGTCCCTCGTACTCGTCTGCATCGTCATCGTAAACCTCTATTAATTCTTGTTGGTGTTGCGATGATGTTGGGTACACCATTCTGTTCTCCAAAATTTTTATCTTTTTATGTTTGGGCTCCTGCACTTCATCAGGGCGGTGGTGGTGGTGTGAAGACTCTATTTGACTTGTTGCTGTATTCTCTTCCTCAATAGAAGGGTAAAAATTTACATTCGAAAATTCCTTCATGCCCTGTAGGAATAGTTGCAGTTCTGCTTCGTCTTCTGCTACCACCCTGATATACTGCAGCGGTAAATTTTTTATTTTTCCTTCGACTGTTGCATTTTTTGGTGAATATGATAGATATAAATGTACTCTACCATTTACCACTTTCACCTCTTTCAACCCATATCTAAATGTACAAAAAAAATATTTATAGAAAAAACAATAAATGAATAAATAAAAAAAAACAACTACTATGAAAATAAATTTATAGAAAAAAAAACAATAGACTTACCTAAATAAATTTTTCAAAAAAACAACCAACAATTTAGTTGGCAGTCTCTTCTTCTCTAGGCTTTCAAAAATAAATATCGAAGGAGTATTCATCTTATAGAGCAAGCTTGACTATAAAGGTGCGTATTCATTATCCGCACGAACGAACGAACGAACGAACGAACGTACGCTAGTGGTATGGACGGGGACCGCATGATAGGACCGCACGAGAAGACCGCACGCATTTCTTCATTCGCGCGCCAGTTCAAATCGTCAAGATATTGTTATAAACCTGTTTTTTTTTTGTTTATATACCGTCATTGAATTATCGACAAGTTACTATGGAGCAGTGCATAAGGAGTCGGGCTAGGGAATCGAGAGACCGGAGTTCGAATCTCGGCCGGAACATCACTTTTTTTTTTTTTTAAATACTGTTGTATTCTATAGTTTATTTTTGTAGTATAAGAAAAAGAACTATTTATTCTGTTATTTTTTAATCTCCGTTATTAATATAAATTGATTGTTAGTACAATACCTCATTTAATATAAAATAATATTCTACTTTTGAAATGTATCGGGGCCCTAATTGTACCTAAAAGCAATATATTTATAGTGATTTATATATTATATTTTTAGTGATATACCATATTGTAAACTATTTAATATTTCAGTCGCTTAAAAGTTAATTTGCATTGAATAATTGCCTACCATTAAAGGAAATTTGAGCTATATAACCCTTGATGGGCATATTCTGGGTATGCAAATACTTCCTTTAAATTTTGGGTGTGGTTCAACCGATTTATTCTCAAAACCAGAAACATCTACATATAAAAAGAAGCACAGGTCACTAATTATAATAAACTTCACCCTTGGTATTACTTCCACTAATTATAATAAACTTCACCCTTGGAATTACTTCTATCACAATTACAATACGTTCATCTGCATTGGCATTTTCTACTTTTCGATGGGAAACAATAAACTTCCCAACATTTTTTAAATGATGTAACAATTCCTCTTGTGGTTACTTTTCCATAGATATCCTCATCTCTGTTCTCATGTGAATTCAGAGGCAATAAAAATGAAAATTATTTACCATAAACATCGCAAACTAAAAACCTAATTAACAATTTTATACCGAATATAGAAATAAATTTAGTATTTTTACCTATTATCGTCCAAATCCATGTTAATAGATAATTATTATTTTTAAATATATTTTTGGAACTGCTGGTTTTAGTAATTATTAAATTAAACAAACTAAAAAGTCTTAAAAATAAACAATTTTAACCATAACCTCAAAAATGCAGATCTCCTGTCAACTTTCTTTATTTTTTTATTTATTCATTATTTTCCTAGTGACGTCACAGGTGGTGGGCGCGAACTGAACGAAATTGGAGCCGCTATCGATCATACCTTGTATTCTTTTGTACCATGACGCCTAAACGCCTTTGATGTACCGACTCGAAGCGGATGGTCGAGCGCACGAACGAACGAACGGCCGCATGCGTTCGGTCCCCGTCTAAATATACCGCACTTTCATTCGTTCGTTCGTTCGTTCGTTCGTTCGGTCGTTCGTTCGATAATGAATACGCACCTTAAATCTGAAAGCGCACGCAGGCGAACGCCTTTGATGTACGGACTCGAAGCGGATGGTCGAGCGCACGACCGAACGAACGGCCGCATGCGTTCGGTCCCCGTCTAAATATACCGCACTTTCATTCGTTCGTTCGTTCGTTCGTTCGTTCGTGCGGATAATGAATACGCACCTTAATGCAGCATAGAATTTTCTGCCTTTATATATATTTTAAAACAAAGAAAAAATTTATGACACGATATGAATAATAAGTTGTTTACAGGATACGCAGATTTAGAACATGTATCTAAATCAAAACAAATCCATAAATTATTAAAAAATGCATACAAAGTAATAAATTAATAATATGCAATATCATTTTGTTAAAAACAATGAGTATGTAAATTAAAGATAAATTATTAAAAAAATATATACAAAGTAATAAATTAATCACATGCAATATATATTTGTTATTAAAAACAATAATTATGCTTATTTTGCAATCTAATGATAATTTTATTAAAATATACATTCGCTCAGTCTGTAAAAAATTGTAATGTAACGATAGATTATTCAAATTATAAAAACAAGTTCTAACACGCTTGTAATAGATTGGAAAAACAAATTAATGATTCTTGGAATATTTCTAATAATTTTAAACAAACAAAACAAGACGACTAAAATTTTGAAGGGGTTTATTATAAATATTAGAAAATGTATTAAGAATAAACTAGATTGTGTGAAAAATTTTTATAAAGTAGAGTCTCAATTATTATTGTTATTAAAGTATAGGGAATATTTTAAAAAGAAATGTATAAAGTATAAATAATAGAACATAAAAGATCCAGACATATTCTTAAAAAAGACCTTAAGAAATTTTTTAATTAAAATTAGACAAGCTCTGAAGATTTCAATGATTAAAGTTAATGTTCATGTTAACTTTTTAGCTAATTTTATAAAACCTACTAATTCTGAAATTGAAGTCAAGCATTTCAATACTAAAAATGAAATAATTGATAATTCTACAAATTTAAAAAAGTGGTATCGATGATCTTTACTTAAAGTTAATGTAACCTTTTTAACTGGAGCAATAATTAATTTAAATATTAAGGAGCCTTTTGAATTTTTTAATAAATCTTTTCAATCTTTTGCATTTTAAATTAAAAAGAACTTAAAATCAACAATCTTTACTTAAAATTAATGTAACCTTTTTAACAAATTTTATGAAACCACAAACTGGTGAGACAGATTTCAAACCAAGAATAGAATTATTTTTAATAATACAGATTTAAAATTATTTTATAATAATTACATTGAATATAATACTTAAAATAAAATTAAAAAAATTTAGGAGAGAGATTTATAAAACCACAAACAGATGTATTTATTAAAAAAAAAAAAAAAAAAAAAAAAAAGGGTTCTTAATATTTAAATTAATTATTGCTCCAGTTAAAAGTTGTTGTATATATTTTTTAAAATACCTTTAATGAAAAACAGGTAATAACTTCCATGAGACCAATAAGCGTTGATGAATTTTATGCCCTCTGTCCATATGATAAAAATCATAAGGTTTTAAAAACTCGAATCTCTAACCATATGATTGCCTGCAAAAAGAGGATGGAGGGTCATCATGAAAAACTCATTGAAGCAATAGAAGAAAAAACACTTGAACCAGCATATCAATATGACTCACCTCCGCCGTTCCTTTCTAGAAATGAGAGGAAAAAGTGGCGAGGGTATAATGCTGACAAGTATAAGGAGCGGAAATCTGAAAATTAAAGGTATTAAAGTACTATGACAATAACAATTTTGAAAAATAAGTAATAATATTTTTTTAGATTGAAAACCCTACATACTAGCTACAAGATGTAAATAATCAAGCTATTAAGCAGGATTTTAATAATAATTAAAAAAGAAAAATATTTTTCTATACACATTATTTATTATATATTAATTATTCGATTTTTAAATTTTTTCGTGTAATGTAAGTTATTTAAATTGTTTTAGTGTTAAATTATCTCCATTTGTAATACGGATTTAGTTTTAGAATAATTTAAATGTAATGTGTAAATGTAAATTATAAAATTTTAATGAACCTTAGATATACTTATTTGAATAAGAAGAATTTTAATAACAATTTAAAACAGAATTGCTTTAAACACATTTATTTTTACAATAATCTTATATGAAAACTGATATGTTTGTAGATTTAAATCTCCACACCTTGTGTACCATTTTTGATTAGGATATGGTAATAATCAAAATGAAACGTGTAAAAGTTAAATTTGATAAACCAATTTATGTAGGATTTTCCATTTTCAGTATGGTTATTATAGAAATGAAAAGGACAAATATTAAATTTAACAAACCAATTTATGTAGGATTCAGTATTTTGGACATTTCAAAAACCATAGTGTATGATTTTCATTACAACTACATTAAACCTCTGTATCGGAATATAATAATTGATTTCTTAATATATCACTTTTTTGTTGATAATATATATGAACATATTAGAGAGGATATAAATAAATTTGATATTTCTGACTATCAAGAAAACAATCAATTTAATATTCCTTTAGTAAATAAAAAAGTATTAGGTTTGATGAAGGATGAAAAACTCTAATAATTAAAATATTCAGTCACTCGTAGTCAGTCGTAGCAAATAGATATATCTGCATAGCTATTGAAAATGTTTATTATTGATGTACAAGGCTTTCAGTATGGATCAGGAAATTTTATTTGTAAAGAATTAGCAATAGTCAACGTTAACGACAATGGACATTTGGCTGCACATAAATTTATAAGTTATCCATTTGAATTGAAACAGTACAATTCAAAAGTTAGAGATCATATGGAATGGATAACTTGCAATTTCCATGGTTTAGAATTTGATGTTTTGTATGGAGAAGAAAAATGTTTACCGTATGAAGATATTTCGAGTTTCATTAAAAAACACGTGTGTTCAGAAATTGTTGCTGTTAATGGGGCAGAAAAGAAGCAATGGTTAGAAAAGTTTTTAGATAATGAAATAATTGATTTACATATAGAAAGATGTCCATCATTTGATCAATTAAAAAATGTATTCAAATCCTATCATTGTTTAAAACATTTAGATAGTAGTTTATATTGTGCAGTTGAAAATGTATATTTCTTATATTATTGGTATACTTATTGTAATAATCAAAAATTTTAACTAAATATTTAAAATAGGATATTTTAAATATTTAGTTAATATAATAATAATAGTTTTATTAATAATAATTTAGTTAAAATAATAATATTTTATACAAAATATATGCTTAATAAAACACTTAAAATTGTAATACTATCTTTTATTAACTATATACTCATACAATCCCTTTACTACAAACTAAAAACCATAAGATACTATATACATAAAATATTTAAATATTTTTTATACAATATGACATATATAAAACAACAATACGGACAACAAATAGGATACTAAATATTAATTTTGTACAATAGTGTATTTTTGGCTTTCGTACATGTCAGCATCTTCATCGTATACGGTTGTAAATGATGGGGATGCGGACTATCCTCCTAATAATGTGTATAATATACCACAAAAAAACAAAAAAATATTAGGTCTTATGAAAGATGAAAATAATGGGAAAATAATGACTGAATTTATTGGTTTACGATCTAAACTGTACACTTTTAGAACTCAAGCACATAGTTGTGAAAATTTAAATGTTAGTAAAAAAGCTAAGGGTATAAAGTCATCTTCACTTAAAGCTATAACTTTTGACGATTTTTATCAATGTCTTTTTAATAATTCCACTCTTGAAACTGAACAACATTTAATTCAATCAAAAAAAAACATTAAGTGTATACTATAGCCCAAAGAAAAATAGCTCTATCTCCGAATGATGATAAAAGAATTATTAATTATTTGTATACAGATACAAAACCATGGGGTTGGGAACTAAGGGGAAACATTTAGAAAATCTTTAGATTTTATTTATTTGTTATAAAACCTCTCATTTTTAAATCATTTATATAAGTAAATTTAAATTTTAATTAATATTATCTTTTTCAGAGCATTTGTGATACAGAAAGAGGAGAAGGATCATTCGGATCTGCTTTTAAATAAGTACACTGTTCACTAAAAATTATATTTTAGATTCATAGAAATATTGTAATTTACATTTACATATTTAAATTAACTAAATACTCATTATAAGTGGAGGTAATAAAACACTAAAGCAATTTAAATAACTTACATTACATTGGAAAATGTAAAAATGGAATAATTAATATAAAATAAACGTGTTTAGAAAAATCCTGTTGTTAATTATTATTTTAATTGTTCTTATTCAAATAAGTACACTGTTGAGTAAAATTCATATTTAGATACAGAAAGAAATACAGTAATTTACAACATTAAACTATTGCAAAAACTATATTCATTAAATTAGATATTGTAATATTTATAGAAAATATTAATATAAAAATAAATGTGCTTATAATTTAATCTATCTTTTCTTATAAAATATATTTCACAAGGCTAGGCTTGGCTCGCACTATGAGTAACAGCGAAAAACATCCTTATCGCAATATTTACTGATAAAACCCGACCCCTTGATCTCTCGGACACAATAATAACTTATCACAATATTTAGAAATAACATAAACAAGATAAAATTAGTATTATTATTGATTGCATCATCGCCTGCAATATTCTTATTGATAACCTTTAACCTTTTAAACGTTATCGCACACACAACAACAACATGGCATTTTCCTAAATTTTAAGGAAATTTCTCGTCTATAGCACCCCAACCTATGTAACTCTTATAACATGGCATATATGCAAACTCCCTAAATCTACTTATTTAGATCTGGCAAAGCAGCATTTGCAGTACCCTCATGCTTACCCTTAAAAACCTACCCTCACCCACACCCCTAACAATTATATTAAGGCCCTTTTCAACAGCCTCCGGTAAATTTACAAGAACTACCCACACAAACATTATCTCTTTAGAAATGACCTTCAAATTAATCAAGGTCAATACTTCTTCGGCTCAGGGATCGATGCTGATGGAAAACATGCCATCGAGCAAAAATTGATCCAGTATCCCGCTAGCTATACTACTTGCATTTAATGAAGCTATAAAAAAATAGGCAATAGGCAATTTCCAATGGCCTGTGTGGGATACAACCATAAGCACTAATGCTTCACTAGCTGGTTGTAGTGCGTCATTTTTTGTTCCAATGCCAACATTTACGTATCCCCACATTTGATGTCCATCAGATTCTATCTGTTTTTTTATAGAAATTTCATCTAATACTAGTGAACAAATAATATGTCTATTTAATATTAGTGCCTCCTCCACTTTATTCTTAAGAACATTAAAAGCTGTGGATATAAAACCCGGTTCACAGTTTATGTTCTTATACCATTCCCTAATAGTAGCTTGATGTGGTAACGCAAGAGCAAACTGGCTACGAACCTCTTCATAAGCTTTACTAGAATAGAATTGTAATGTAGCTGCAAATTCTCTTAAAACTGCAGGGTATGCTTCGTGAGTAACTGTTTCATTACTAATATTTTTTTAAATATCTACTCATTAGCAAATGGGGTACACTACTGTATGTCAGTTCTAAATGTTCTGCAGCATTATAAGATATGTTCTTATTATTTTTAAGAGACTCCATTATAATAGACATATTTAAAACATTTTTCTTCAACAACTTAATTTTTCTGTTTGCATTATATAATTTGCGTCTATATGTTTGTTGTTTTATTTTTAAATTATAATTTTCTGTTCTTTCTCTATTTGGAGACATACTAAAACAAAAACAAATATTATTATGCACTATCCTACATATATAAACAGCATTTGTGTGATAGTAAATAAATAATTTACCTGTAAGAATGGAACGCTTTAACTAACCGAACTTTTCTTCTTTTTGTACTACTGTCAGTCCTTGTGCTAGTACTGAAACTTTTGGATGAATTGCCACTGCATAAATAAAAATGGTTAAATAAATATTCACTTGAATATAATATGTTCATGTTTTAAATACCTACCTTGGTTCTAACTTGCGTTTTCTTCTAATTTGTTTCCTTGTTTTTTTGCTTTCATCTGTTGATGGTGTTGATTCCCGAATAAAAGACGCAGTTGACTCCATTCGACTTGTAGAAGCTTCAGCTTGAGTACAAAAAGACTCGTTTTTTGATTCTAGAACCGCCATACGTAGGTTGCAAGTTGGAACAACATTTGGTTTTAAAAAACGTTTAACACCCCCTTTTACAATATCCTCTTCTTTAAAACAAACAACAATATTTTTGCTCCACTTCCAATTTTTGTGATCTATTCCCAATATATCCAGCCATTGCTTTTGGAGGTCATTGTCTCTTTTCGGGACACTAATAAAGAAAAAACTGTTACCAAAAAACAACACATTTTATTGTCCACACATTTATTTAACCACTTACTTATGAAAACTGATTCCCTCTTTTCTAATTTTTTTATTGTTTTTACAGTCTTTTACCGGCCAGAAAGCCATTGAACTATATTAACACTAACGAACTATATTAAGAAAAGAATTATATTAACACTAACTAACTATTAAAATGCTAAACTAACTAACGAACTAATATTAAAATGAAAAACAGGAGAAAACTTATTCTTAATCTAAGGAGAAAACACGTAAATTCGCACAACAAATAAGCAAAAACTCATCCAAAATCCAAAACCAAAACCAAAACTGACGCCAGCTGACTCAGAGGTTAGGTATTTGTTGATTATCGATCGATAAACGTACCGAAATTCGACGGCGGGAGTAGACAATGGCGCCCATCTGATCGTCCCACTAAAATTGGATGCGCACTCGTCGAAGCGCGATCTCCTTAAGTCTATATCTCTGGCTATCACATACAAATTTCACCACAGTCCATGAATGCTCGCTTCGCTTCTTTTCCTGCATCCATGCACAGTTGTTTCTTGTAGGTATTGTCTAAAATCTAAAATTAGAAAATATTTTGCATTTCTATTTTAGATTTTGATGGCCTATATTTTAGAAAAATGTTAATTTTAATAGCTGTTTACGCTACACGACCGGAAAATAGGGTTTTGCAGGTCGAGCCAAGTAAGTTCGTGGGTGACTTTCTGACTAATTTTTTACAGAATATAACTAGCCTTAAAAATGCTACTTTCTATCAAAAAAATTACGAAACTACTGCCAAACTTTTTGATCATAAGGCGAATAAAATGAATTTAAATTTGACAAAATACATATTAGATTAAACAAATTATAATCCATATCTGAGGAAGTATCCGGATTGTTTCGGTACTTCCTGAAACAAATTGTAGGTATCTTGTAGGTATAGTCTAAGAAAATATTTTGGGTTCCCATATAGATATTGAACATCAACAGGAAATGAGGAAACCTACTAAGTGCTTAAAATGTGGTCAGAGATATGGGAAAAAGATGTCTCCAGCTTATGGTAAAGTTTGTGTAAACTGTGGTAAGCACAATCATTTCGCTGTAGGGTGTAAGTTTAAGAAACAAAATGTGAGTAATAAAAACTTTAATAGGGTAGTATTAGTGATAATAAAAAGAGAGTTGATGAGATAAAAGATAATTCTGGGTCGGAAACCGAGTATTCTGTAATTGATACATTACTGGTAGATAATATTCTCGATGGCACAAATTTAAATAAACGGTAGTCAGAAAAAATAAAAATATTTTTCACAAGAGCTTTCTACATTTTATAAAATTAGAGGAGACCTTTATATTAATAATAATCTTATATTTTTCAATGACACTTTAGTTATTCCTAAAAATAGTAGGGCATTAATGTTAAATAAATTACACAAAGGTCATTTTGGTATTGAAAAAACTAAAACCAGGGCAAGGAAAATTTTTTATTGGCCAGGATTAAGTTCTGAAATTGAAAATCTGATTTCTAAATGTCCATGTTTAAAATATTCACGTTCACCTAAAAAATAACCTCTTATTCCTCATGAAAGGTTCAATATACCTTTTTACAAGGTGTGTTTTAGTTGACTATTTTAGTAATTGGATAGAGCTTGTAAAGTTAGAATCTAAAACAGCAAAAGAAATAATTAAAGTTTTAAAAAATATTTTTTCTTAATTTGGTTTTCCTGTTATATTTATTGCTGACAATAACCCTTTTAACAGTTTTGAATTTAAAAATTTCAGTAAAAGTTGGGAACTTCAAATTAAAACTTCCAGTCCACGATATCCCAAATCAAATGGTCTTGCCGAAAGGTATTTGCAAAAATATTCTAAGAAAATGTTCTGAAACAAATTCTGATATTTCTAAGGCACTATTAGAATACCGAAATACTCCGTTGGCAAAAATAAATGTTTCAAAAGCAGAAATAGTATTTGGAAATTTTGTTCGTCCTACATTACCATTATCTGGAAATCTTTTAAAAAATAAAATATCTTTTAATCCAAATTACTACTAAATACAAAAAATAATAATTTTGCTAGGAAAAATTCAAATAAAAAATATTATGATAGACCTGCTGTTTCTCGTTCTGAGTTTATTGTTGGAGATGGCATTATTTTTAAGAAGGGGGGTATAAGGGGTAGCGGTGCGCAACTTAAAGCCTACTCTGCTCAATTGTCAACCTCACCTTCTCGCGGTATACCCTGTTTTAACAGACGAGGCTCTGACTACCGTGTCGGGGCGGTGTAACCCTAGTATGCCGTGGTTCCGTCCAACAGAGTCGCGAAGTGAGTCGCAGGAAATGGCATCTCACGCGGCTTTGTCATGAGGACCGAAAGGCCAGTCGTCGCGGCCAGTCTGTGCCATTGGAACCAACTTTCTGTCCTCTGCCGCAACCAAGCGGCGGTGTAACCGTCTTGGTTTTCTAATTATGTTACACAGCCGAACATCTCCAATCAAAGTCAAGATGAATCCTCTGCGCGAGACAAAATATTCCGGAGGTAAAATACCTTCCCGATCGGATCTCCGGGGGAAGGTGCTTGCGCAGGAGAATTTTCGATTAAGAAGTACAAAAAGACGCAAACTGTTTACCTTCGCAGCGTGGAACGTTAGGAGTCTTTGTGACTCTCGCCAATCGAAACATCCTGAAAGAAGAACTGCTATTGTCTCCAAAGAGCTGTATCGACTCAATGTGGATATTGCGGCCATTTCGGAAACAAGACTACCTGGGGAAGGATGTCTTGCTGAGAACGAATATACATTCTATTGGAAAGGGTACCCAGAAGATCAGAATAAAAAACTGCACGGAGTTGGCTTTGCAATAAAAAATAATTTAGCTACCAAATTGCAACAGGCGCCGCAAGCAATCTCTGAGAGGCTTATGACTCTCCGATATCCAATAGGGCACAATAAATTTGTTACGGTAATTAGCGTTTATGCTCCAACTCTGAAGGCTGATCCAGAAATCACTGATGCTTTTTACCAATCTTTAGAGGAAGTTTTAAATAAAACACCTATACAAGATCGATTGATCCTGATGGACGATTTTAACGCCCGAGTAGGTCGTGAACATAACATCTGGGAGAAAGTAATCGGAAAACATGGAATAGGCAATATGAACGCTAATGGAGAGCTTTTACTAACCAAGTGTTGGCATGGCCTTACGATAACAAACACCTTATTTATGCACAATGACAAATTTAAAGGCACTTGGCAACGTCCTAGATCTAAGCACTGGCATCAACTTGACCACGTCATTGTGAGGCAAAGAGACCTTAAAGAAGTCCTTGATACTAAGGCCTGAGTGGACGTAGAGTGCTGGACAGACCACAGAATACTTACATCGAAAATGGCGATAACTGTCCGACCAAAATACTCGTGCATAAGAAAACCCTCTAAAAGGAAAGTTATAAACACTGCCAAATTGGCAGATCCAAACATAAGATCAGAGCTAGGCCTCAGGATCTCCGAAACTCTTACAAGGGCTACAGACACAGATAGCGATGACCCTGAACATATTTGGATAAACATTCGGGACGCCATACAATCTGAATGTGAAAAGAGTCTAGGGGAAACAGTAAGATGCAATAAGGACTGGTTCAGGGATAAAGCTGAGGAAATAGAATCCGCCCTTGAGCTCAAAAGAAAAGCACACACCGGCCTCGTGAATAACCCCGAGTGCAGACAAGCCCAGAAGCATTTTGCAACTGCTAAACACGAAGCTCAAAAAAACAATCAGGGCAGCCAAAAATTCTTGGTGGAAAAGCAAAGCTAATAAAATTCAGACTTACGCTGACAACAACGATAGTAGGCGTTTTTTCCAAGCTCTGAGGGAAGTATACGGCCCTGTAAATCGCTCTTCTTTAATACGGGACGTAAACGGCGAACTACTGAAAAATGAAACTGAAATTCGTCACAGGTGGAAGGAACATTTTTCGCTAGTCCTGAATCAAAACTCAAATATTGACCAGGAAGTTTATGACTGGTTGCCTCAATACGACACTGCAAACTTCTTATCCGTCCCACTTGCACGAGAAGAAATCGCTGATGCAATCGCATCTTTAAAAAACAACAAAGCTCCCGGAAAGGACTCAATTCCTGCTGAAATTTACAAGGCACTGACACCGGAATTAATGCCCCATCTTGAAAATCTGTTTACCGTTATCTGGGAGCGAGAATCAGTACCCCATGATTTTAGGGACTCAATAATCATTAGCCTCTATAAAAATAAGGGAGACAAAACCGAATGCGGAAATTACAGAGGAATCTCTCTACTGGCTGTTGCAGGAAAAATCCTAGGAAAAATAATAATAAATAGAATGATGCCCTATGTAGACAAACTCATACCTGACTCTCAGAGTGGCTTTCGACCGAGAAGATCAACTGTAAATATGGTCTTCTGCCTTCGTCAGATTCAAGAGAAAGCTATCGAACAACAGCAAAACGTACATTTTGCTTTTATCGACATAACTACGGCATTCGATACGGTCAATAGGGATGCACTCTGGTCAATTATGTCAAAATTTAGCATACCGCAAAATATGGTTAACCTAAAAAATGGTTAAAAGTCTGCATGTAAACAACAGAGCCGAGGTATCATTCAATGATGCCCTAACAGACCAATTTGAAACAAACAGCGGTGTAAGACAGGGTTGTGTCCTGGCACCTGTACTTTTCAATATCTTTATAACAGCCCTAATGATGATGGTAGAAGTTACAGGAAAGAGGCCTGGCTGTCCGATATCGAACAGTTAGGTACGTCACAGAATTAATGTATGCATACGATTGTGCACTAATAGCTAATGACCCTGAAACTCTACAACAAATACTGGACATGTATATATGGGCGTATGAGGCAATGGGACTACAAATAAACATTAAGAAAACCAAAATAATGTCAACACTTTCTGGCGAGCTACCGCAAACCGAGTTGCTCGTGTCGGGCAGAAGGCTTGAGGAGGTTGATTGCTTTTGCTATTTGGGTAGTATGCTTAATAACAAAAGAAACATAGACGCTGAAATACGAAACAGAATAAGTGCTGCCACCAAGGCTTACTTTAAACTACGCAGGAGGGCCTTTGAAAACAATGATCTCTCCCTCGATGTGAAACTTAGTGTGTACCGTGCAGTTATTATTCCAACTTTAATTTACGGAAGTGAAACGTGGGTCCCATATAAGAAGCATATAAAGAGTTTAGAGCGGTTACAACAAAGTCACCTAAGGCAAATAATGAAGATAAAATGGTATCACAGGATTTCCAACGAAGTGGTACATTGCAGAGTAAAATGTGTTCCTATTGAAATTCTGATTGGTAGAGCTCGCCTACGATGGATTTGGTTTGAGTCTTTGGTCACCTGTCGAGGCTGGACGATGGCAGACTAGAAAAAAACATTCTCTATGGCGAACTAGCGCAAGGTAGCAGAAAACACGGCGGTCAAAAACTACGTTATAAAGATGTACTACATGAAACTCTAAAAAGCGTCAATAGTAATAACAACTGGGAAAATATCAGTCTTGACCGTCCAAAATGGAGACAAGTAGTACACAAGTATGAGGACCCTCGCCCTCGTAATAGATATCATCCAGTCCCTGGGCACTTTCCATGTCCAGAGTGCAGCCGCATAATAACCTCCAGAATAGGACTCCACAGCCATCGGAGGGTACACTCACGGCGCAATTAGATGTTCTATTGAAACTCGGACACGAGTCACCGGCTTACGGATTTTTAAGAAAGAGGAGCAAGGATGCTGGGAAGCGGGGGAAATAGTAGGTAAGTGTCAAACTCCAAGGTCTTATATATTATTAGAGATAGATTTGGACGTAACCTTAGAAGGAATTCTAGTTTCATTAGATGTTTACCAAATCTGCCTCTACCATCTGTTTTATAATTTGATAATTCAGAAACATTACCTTTAATACCTGAAACTTGACCTTTAACGCCTAGTTTTGAAAATGATGATAGTGCATCATTTTATAATTTTGCTTTACCTAGTACTCCTAGTGGTAATGATAATACTACCACTAGTACCATGTTGTTAAAAACATGTGGTAGAGTTATTAATAAACCTGCTCGGTTTAGAGATTAGTTAATAAATTGTTTATTTTGTGAATTAAAATTGTTTAAGTTTTTTTAAATGTATTTAAAGGAAAGGAGATGTCACATATGTATGTGCTAATAACTTTAAGTTGTATCGACACTGTCGTCCATCCCTATTTGAATGTAATGAAGTTAGCTTAGGTTAGGTTATGTTTAAATTTAGAAGAAGAACGCGGTCGTGCTAAAAACTTAACAACTCATGTATTAATAATTTAATGTAACTTATATGTTAATTAACTAAATACTAAATTCACAACGCCTTGTCTTAGTAATATGAAACACTCATCAAGAAGTTTTATAAACTTAAAAGATTGGTAGTATCATGTCTATATGCCAATACTCTAACACACCAATATTTTCATCTAAACAAAAAATGTTCAATTCCGAAGAATCACAAGGCTTTTCAAAAGACAAATAACCCCCTTAATTAATTAATTAAGTGGTCTTTTTTAATGGTATTTGCACTACAAATCTACCTTCTTCACTTCGAAGAGTAGTTTTAGAAAATATGTCTTCACACAGAATTTCATCAGAAGAAAATATTTGTTTAGGACCAGGAACCTCTTCCAGTTGCCAGAATTTTGACAGGTTCTCCTCCACGTTCACATTGGATGAAAAATGGCAGCACTACACCAGTGAAGATGATCCTGGAAACTCACCACCTATAACCCACCCTAAATAAATAATAAATAATAAACTTTTAACTTTTAGATTAGTACATAAAATAACAGCCGTTTCTTTAGTAAAGGTACCTAAGACAATGTCTTGTGTTGTGCCTTGTTTTGAGAGTTACTTTCTTATTAAAAGTTAACTACACGCAGAAAGAAAGAGAAAAAAAACATTATAAATATGTAATAAAAGTATACAAGCTATAATTCTAAAGGTTGATAATAATGGTTTGTCCTAGACCAACATGGAGTGCATTAGCACATAATTGACAACTATATAAGATTTAATGTTCTTTTTGAAAATACGGCTAGAATATCTCCTGTATAACGAAGGTAAACTGTTATATAATTTTATTCAATTATAAGATATACTTTTTTGGCAGACTGATTTACTAACACGATCTATAGAAGTCAGTGTGCAGCTTGACTTCTGGTATTGTGTGAGTGGTGCGCATGATACAGATTGTTCTTCGAGTGTATTAATATTAATATAGATTTAATATATAGACCTCTTACATTCAGGATACAATTTGTTGTATAGATATCTCTTGCACTTACTCTACTTTTAATCTTGAATATGACGCGTATGATAAAATTCTGACAAACTTGTAACTTTTTTAGTGTGGTTTCATACGTTTTAGTGTGAACCCCAAACAGATATGCCGTAACTAAGAATTGATTCGGCTAAGCTGCTATAAACGATAATAAGTAGTTTTTGAGCTAGTACATTGCGTAATTGATAAAATCTGTATATAAGCTTTCTGATTCTTTTAGCCAGATAATCTATATGGAAAGTCCATTTTAAGTAGTGATCGATGAATACACTTTTTATTCACAACATTAGTTTCATTTCATTTCACAACATTAGTTTGGATTACTCCGTCATTAAAACCTTTAATATACATGGGACCCAATTGTCTACTTTGCCCTGCAGCAGTCGGTGAGAAAGCCATATATTTAGTTTTTGAGACATTTAAACTCAGTCTATTAGCATCCAGCCATTCTTTCACGTCTTGCAGTGAGACTTGAGCTTTGTTCCACGTCCTTTCCCATGAAAAATCTTCACAAAGCAAAATCGTATCATCCGCATAAGAAATAATTTTACATTCATTATAGTTTAATAAATCATTGATAAATATAAGAAATAGGGTAGGTCCCGGTATAGTTCCCTGTGGAATCCCAGTTTTTATAATTTTTGTGTTGCTGAGTATCCCGTTTATGTGTACCTGTTGATATCTTTCTGTCAAATAACTTTTAAATAGTGAACAAATTTTACCTCTAATACCTATATTGTTAAGTTTTTCCAGTAATCTGCTGTGATTCACAGTATCAAATGCTTTTTGTAAATCAAGAAAAATACCAATGGTCTTTTTGTTACTATTAAAATTACTCAGTATGTTTTCTATTAGAATCTGAAGTGGTTGTTCAGTGCTAATTCCCTTCTGAAAACTAAACTGACAATTTGATATAATTTTATGTTCGTTTAAAAAGATGTCAGTCTCTTGTTAAGGCTTTTTTCAAAAATTTTTGACAGACCA